CATACTACTGATTTACTGGTAGTCCCGAAAGTCTACTTACACACGAAAAATAAGTAACTAGTCGATTGTTTCAAAGAATGCGATATGGAAAAAGGCACTTGTGGCAATGTAGCTGAGTGGTTAACATGTCACGGTTCGAGTTCCGCTGGGGGTGTTGATAAGACCAGTTGATGCGAGGTCGAAACTGCAGTCCCCTCCAACCGAGATGAGAACAACTTTTCGGAAAGCAAAGCAAACTGTGAAAGGGAAGGAAAACGTCAGCTGTACTCATCAGATTGTGGGAAAATTATACCGATAGGAAATTGGATGAATACATGTCATACTACTGATTTACCGGTAGTCACGAAACTCGACTTGGATACGGAAAAAAAATATTCGAAGGTTGATCTTACCGCACGATGACGGTTGAATCGTGTTGTGTTGTAGCCGTTTGGTTTTGATACGACGTTCACGAGACATTCTGCCTCGTTGCGGGTGAAATCGGGCTAAGTATTCGTCCAGCAAATGAGCGACATCATCAGAGCTGGAATTCATTCTTCGAACGAGAGGGCCATCCGGCTCTGTCTTGCCTCTTATGCTATACATAATTATTTGGCCAATTCTATTTCGTATTTATTATGGTACCTTTACTCAATAGTGTGTCTGTATGCTAACGCAAGATAGAGCCGGATAGTCTTTTTGAATGAGTGTTGACCTGACAATTTTACAAGAATGAGTTACAAATCTGATAATGTCTCTGTCTTGATGCACGAAAGTTCACATCGTTTTCACCAGAAACGAAATCTCAGCGTCGTATAAAAGCCAATCGGCTGCAGTACAGCGCGAATCGGCCGTCGTTTTCTGGTGAGATCTTCATGCATTTTCATACGAAATGAACGTCTCCCAACGACCTCACCTCATTTGATTTCCTATCAAATGTGGGCGAAATATTGTCCACTTTCCAAGGATTATGTGACACCGGCTCTGGAGGTTTAATAGAAGATATGGAGACCAAGATGGTGTGGCCTTTTGTGTGGTCGCAGTCTACTTTCGTTGTACAGAAGTTGTTTGACCTTTATTTTGCAACTTTGTCATGTTGACAGGAAGACTTGGAGAAACACACCTTGTCCAGAGTCCATTGTATGCATCACCATTTCCACAGTCGGACCGTGGACTTGGTACATTCCCAAACGTTCCGCCGGCATCGTCAGTGAGTCTCGCCACTCTTAGCACCACACAACAACTCGTCAAAGAGACAAGTGAAGCCGATCCTTTGACCAATTGTATGCTAAACAGTTGTCCTCGCCTATTCACATTTCCCATATCCTCCTATCACACCTTCACTATCACACCTACAATTTGTACCGTGCTTATTTCGATGTAGTGTGGTGCGCTCCATCGAGTGGCATTCATAAAAACCCTTCACACTTGTGCTGGGAATGTTGATCACAATCTGCCATATTGTCACGCAGTCCTCGCTCCATAGGTCTTATCACAGTCTCTCTCTTGCCCCGTAAGATCCGTCTGCTCTCTCGCTGGTTCACCTATTTCACTCGACCCCTGCCACTCCGTTTGTGCCCCACGAGGCGTTATTTCCCAAACTCTGCCTCTGGGAGACCAACTTTTGGTTAAGGACTCCGACTAATCGTCATGGTCAAGTCTTTGCTTCCTGTACCACGTTTATGGTCAGACAGGACTACAGTCAGCCAACTAGCTCCAGTCTACGCCGCGTCTATCCCGTTTCTATCCATACAACCAAGTCTATCACTTCCTACGTCCTATTCTCTTGTGTGCCAACCCACAAATGTTGTGTTTCTACTTGTTTTGATTAGGCTCACTGAAGACGTCTCCTCTTGGCTTCTGATTCTTCCTTTTCCATCTCCTTGCGATCTCTTTTTCTAAAATTTAAGATATTAACTTTTTCCAGTCGTCTTCTTTTTGCTGATCTTTCTGTTGCCTGGTCTTCGCTGATCCTGCTTTCTTCAAGTCTTCTGTTCCTTAGATTTATCTTGATCCGTACATCGACAGCCTCTCGGATCTTGCGTGTTCTCGTATTTCCACCAAATGCAGCCAACCTTTCTGACGATTTCCAGTCAATTTCGTGTCCCGTTCGTGCAATGTGTCCGGCTATTTCGTATCCTTCCGTATCCATGCTCCTGCATAGTCTTTGATGTTCCTTGATTCGTAGGCCGATCTTTCTTTCTGTCTCAGGTCTATGCTGTTTCTATCCCGAATACCAAGTCTATCACTTCCTACGTCCTAGTCTCTTGTGTGCCAAACCACAAATGTTGTGTCTCTACTTGTTTTGATTAGGCTCACTGAAGATGTCTCCTCTTTGACTTTGATCGTTTCTTTCTCGTCCCCTTGCGATCTCTTTTCCTAAAATTAAGGATGTTTCCTTGATCCAGACGTCTTCTTCTTGCTGATCTCCCAGTTTGCTTAGGCAATATGCGATTAGATTTCTCTCGGTCACTATTTCGATGGCCTTTCGGAGCTTGTGTTTTCTTGTAACTTCACCACATGCAGCCAGCCTTTCGTTCGATTGGCAGTCGATCTCGTGCCCCATTCGTGCAATGTGTTCTGCTATTTCGGATCTTTTCGTATCCATGTTACTGCAGAGTCTTTGATGTTCCTTGATTCGTAGGCCGATTTTTCTTCCTGTTTCACCAACATACTTCTGCTCACAGTTGCCGCATTCGATGCGATAAACTCCTGAACATTCAAGTTTATTCATCTTCTCGTGTTGTGTTGGTAGGCCGGTGAAAAGTGTTTTCTTCTCCTTTTTTTTCATCTTGATATTGCATTTTCATAATAAAGGTCGCAATTGTTGGCTCATTTGTGATGAGGGCAAGCAAATCCGTTTTTGGTTGTTATCCTTATTCCGGATCTGATTTTCATAAAATCCAAGTTTAAATCGGCCCTTTACAAACCCTACATTATTCTTTATAAATTCTCTGTGGTATCCGTTACTACGGCAATTCCGTGTCCGTTTGTCCAA